GCCCGGCATGTGTGTTAACTTCTAACCTTTCCCTGCCCAGGCACAGATTCTCATGACCCACGCATTCCACATCCTGCCCCAGGCTGATTCGATCGTGGTGCTGGCAGATGGGGCCATTATAGAGATGGGTTCCTACCAGGAGCTTCTGCACAAGAAGGGGGCCCTCATGAGTCTTCTGGATCAAGCCAGACAGCCAGGAGACAGAGGAGAAAGAGGTACTAGGTGGGCTTTGCTGATTCTCCGTGCCTGGCTCTTGCCACCCTTGGGGAAAAAGGCTCAAAGGGTCCTACTGGCAAGAGTGGAGTGCCGTGGTCACACCCTCCCTGCAGGCCCATGCCCAGAAGCAGACGGCTCTCTAGTAGGTCCCCTCTCTCCAAGAAGAGCCAGTAACAACCATCTACTAGCCAGGGGCTGTGCTAAGTGCTTCTGTGAAAAATACACTATTTCATTTGATTCTCAGAGTGCCCTCAGAGGCGTGTGAAGTTACTGCTGTCATTTTACAGATGAGCAAATAACGTTAAATCAGTTGCCCAAGGTCTTCAGATTAGAACCTGAGTGTGTCCAACTCCAGAGTCTATGCTTGCAGTTGCTATGGAGACAGCACAAGAAGGTTTTGATGCCTAGAAAGCTACAGCATGCCAGCTAGAATTTCTAATAATCCAAAGAACACAAAGTCCGCTGGATACATGGCAAGGTTCTGGAAGTAGAGTTGCCAAGCCAAGCTCACCCACAATGAAAAGTAGCAACTCGTAGCACATCACATGTATTAGCTCACTGAATCAACATGATGCCCCTGTGAGGCTGGGACTAGAATCATTTCCATTTCACAGATGAGGAAACTGAGGCCCAAAAGTTAAGGAACTAGTCCCAGGTTACATGGCTTATAAGTGGCAGCACTGGGATTTGCACCCAAGCAACTTGATTCCAGAGAATGTGTTTTTTAATCACTAGGCTTTTTACTATCCCTGCATGACAGAGCAAGGAGTCACCCAGGTCTCCCTCAAGCTCAGACTTTG